TACGTCCTACAGCGCAGCAAGCATGGTTCGATCGACGGGCATCCTCCACTCTGCCCCCTCGACGATGAACACGCAGAATCGAAAGGGCAGCTGGACGCCGAGTGAAGATGCGCTGCTCATCAAGATGATGCAAAGTAGGTATGGGGCGCTCTCGCACGTGACCACTGCTTGATCTCTACTTCCACTTGGCTAACGAGTCCTTGACGCTCGCGCTGCTTGCAACGATGCCACTCAGGCTATGACGCTGACCTGGCCGAGCAACATGGTGCCAAGGCTGGTCATGTGAGCTGGGTAGGCATCGCGCAGCACTTTGAGAACAGGAATGCCAAAGAAGTAAGTAGAGTATTTTGTAGCACCGGAACGTTGCCGATGATCTGTCCTGACCTTGTGAAGCGGCGACTTGGTCGGAAAATAGTGTCGCAAGCGATGGAAAAGTAGCTTGTGTCCGGGCATCGCCCGAGGGAGCTGGACATCTGGGGAAGACGAGCTGCTGCGCCAAGCCATGCAGATCTACCCAGGCCAATGGGCCAAGATTGCTAGAAGTTTGGGCAGCAGAACGGGCGACCAGTGTTCGAGCCGGTGGCGCGTGCTCAGGTAAGTCGCTGTCCGGGAGTCATGTCGAGAGACTTTGGCGATATGCTGACGAGGTGAGATGGGTTTCATGTCTCGTGCTGTCAAGCGCGGGTGCCGAGTGGAATGAGGACAGGGATCGGATCCTTCTTGATTATGTCAATAGGTAAGCTTACTTGTTGCCGGCAAGGGGTGCGGTACGTGCTGATCCACCTAACCGCTGGCAAACCCTTGAACGCAGATATGGAAAGCGATGGGCGGAAGTGCGTCGACTGCGATTGCCGATGTTCACAAACGCCGAGTGCCGCAACCGGTACCATCGGATCATTCGACGGCTGAGTGCAGAAAAGCGACACGAGGCCGAAATCGAGACGCTCAAGTTGGTCTGCAGTCGAGAGGCGGCCGAATGTCCCTCTTCATCGTCGTGGTCTTCAGCAGCGTCCACACTGTCCTCGTCAAGCGATAGTGTTGCAGGAGTTTCACCAACAAGCCGAAGGACAAGCGTTGTCAGCAGCATCAGCAGCAGCAGCAGCAGCAGCA